CATATAGCAACCAATAAGATTCAAACTTTTACTGAAACGTTATGGCTGTCCCAGATCTCCATACCAAAACATCACTTAGTAGACTAGTAATGACCCCATGCGGGGGGGGGGGGGGGGGGGGGGGGGGGGGGGTGTCCAAGATGGTGACCAGAGCGGCCGCATAGTTGAGATCTCTGCCGCTTCAAACTGTCACCTGACTCCATCCTGGGGGTAGCACTCTCATCACCTGCACTGGGGGCCCTGCTGACTCTGCCCACTGCCTGAGAGAGGAGCTGTGTCAGTCTGACCCCCCTCTGAACTACCGGATATCTGCGGCCTACCGAGGCCTGTGGCGACCTCTGCGCAGACCGGAACTGGAGCCATCTGGGGTGCCGCAGCCCTGACACCTGGGACTCCGCTTGGTAAGCCTACTGGGAGAATCTTGCAGCTGCCTGACCTCCAACAGGGCTCCGGGGGCCTGCAGCCTGCTGAGGCCTATGCACCAGTGGATCTCGTACGCCCTTCCCCGGGTGACGCGGCTCCCACCGCGCCCAGGGATCTCCTGGAGATTACTGTTGCTTAGGGGGGCCAATCCGGGCTATCTACACCCCTCCTAAATCACTGGTACCCTGCTATCTACTGTGGCCTGAGTGTTGATGGCCCCTGCACCCTACCTGCTTCTTAACTGGGGCTCAGCTCCTGCTGGAGCCCGCACACCCTCAGCTTCCACGGCGGCCATCGGTTGGGTCGGCAGGGGGGAACTGCCCGGCCCTGCATCAGAGCCCTGGTGAGATCTGTCTCCTGTGAGGCCTGGGCCTCCGGCCTTACTTAGGGGCATCAATTTTGTCCGCGGCCCATACCTCCCCTCCCCCTTTGGGATGATAGCCATCCGTGAGTACCACAGGGCGAGTCATTCGTCTCCTGCATACACACAGTTTCATTTATACTTATTCAGACACCTGTGAGGGCCCTGTGGGCCGGATACTCGTATTGAGGGTCAATTATTAAAGTAACCACACTTTTCTGCCGGTGTGGATGAGGTCTGGGGATGACTAGAGGCAAGCCTTTGGCCGCTGGCAGAAGATCCAAAACTACACAAACTGCTGAAACCAATTGGTCTGCAGGGGCCAAAGGGGTAACAACCATGGCTGAATGTTTCCTCACAAGAGCCCAACCCATCTGCTGCACCCGCGGACCTTAATTCTCTCATATCGGCTATTACCAATTGTCAAGCGGTGCTCCGCACGGAAATTAAACATCTGCAGACTGACATAGGGCTGATCCAGAGAGATCTTGACTCATTCCAAGGTCAAGTGACGCAGAAGACACCATCCACAGCCACTCGGCTGAGATGCATGCAATGCAAGTCAAGGTCAAATACCTCAAGACCAGAGAAGAGGATGTGGAAAACCGCACTAGTCGTAATAATCTCTGCATGGTGGGTCTTCCTGAAGGGGCAGAGGGTGAGGATCTGCCTCGGTTTACTGAGAACCCTCTCTGCTCCTTGTTGCCTCGAGCCACCTTCTCTAGCTTTTTCGTGGTTGAGAGGGCCCACCGGATGCCAGCAGCCCGGGACCCACCTGGCTCACCACCCTGAACCTTCATTTTTAACCTGCTCAATTACTGTGATCGTGATCTGGTGTTGAGAGCAGCCAGAGCCCAGGGGGAACTACTGTATGATACGAAAACCATAAGTTGATGTTATTTCTCGATTACTTGGTGGATACCCAACGGCAGCGTCACTCCTTTGATGATGTCAAGGCCCGACTGTGAGCAAAAGACCTTACATATGGGATGCTGTTCCCTGCTCAGCTGAGAGTCCAGGATGGAGAAACTACACGTTTCTTTACTGTGCCTGAGGAGGCAGCTTCCTGGTTGGAAACCTTACGACCTTGATTCCCCATTGGAAGATTACTTCGGTTGATTCAATCTGCTGCCTTTGCTCCCGATCACTCCTCTGAACCAGGACTCCCAGATTCTACGTTATGATTTAAGCTTGTACACTCGGCTGTAGCTGAGTAACCTGTTCTTTTCGATACGAGGTGGCCTCTCTATGGCATGTGAGTTCTACAGACTTGCTCTATGTACTCGCTCCACGGACCTCCCTATGGCTTACCCACACATTTGTATTTTGCAAGAAACCCATCTGATGGGCCGTAGAGTACTAGGCTTAAAGAGGGCTTGGGTTGGACACTATTATAAAGCTACGTATTCTTCATATGCCCATGGAGTTAGTGTCCTTATTCATAAATCACTGCCTTTCACTCTCCTCCATCTCAGGCTGGATCCCGAGGGCAAGTACATTTTGATACATGCGATGATTAACTGCTTTGAAATGGTAATTGTTGGTCTTTATCTTCCGTCTCCTGCCTCCTCGCGCTACTTGGCTGCTTTGCCCCGCTCTTTGCCTCATATCCCACATCCCATATTCTCCTTGCTGGTGATTTTAACCTCACTCCTGACCCTACTGTTGACAAACTTAACCCTGAAGCCAGTGGGGTGTTGGATTTGGCCAGATGGGCGGGGCTTTACCAGTTCACGGATGTGTGGCGCTGGAAAGATCCTGACACTTGGTTCCTATACCTGCCACTCGGCATCACATAAAACAATGTCTAGAATTGATCTTTGCTATGTTACACCTCCGCTAGCGAGAGCCCAGGAGATTTCAGTTCTTCCTAAGGGAATATCTTACCATGCCCCTCTTCTCCTCCGCTTGAGTATTTCCGATGCCACAGGAGAAAACATTTGGAGACTATCTCGCTCTTGGATTACTGAACCAGAGGTTGAACCCCCTATATGGAAGGCGTTGGAGCGGTACTGGGTCTCTAATGCAGATTACGCTGTGCCTTTTATTTCATGGGAGGCTTGTAAGGCTACCCTTAGGGGACAGTACCATACCCTGTTTGGGGGCTGCAGGTCAGGCTTAGGTCCGAAGTAGAAATGGTGGATCGGCGGGTGCAGGAATCTGAATCTAGTTATGTGTCTAACCCTGACCTTGTCATTCATCACAACTTACAATTGGCTGTTAGGGAGGCCTTACTTTTATGCATGGAGGCCTCCAGGAAGGCATTGCTCCATCAGAAACAGCATATTTTTAAACAGAGGGATAAAGCTGGACACCTGTTGGCTTGGCTGGCTAGGGAACAAAACTGCCATGACCTCATGCACAGGCCGAGGATGGCTCTAGGATCCTTGATCCGGTTTTAATTAACCAATGTTTCGCTGACTATAATACAAATTTATATTTTTCTAAAGTTACCTATACACCACAGGACCTGTCCCGATATTTGGAACATGTGGAATTACCGTCTTTCTGCAGCCCAGAGGGGAAAATTGGAGGCTCCGGTTTCTTTGGAGAAGATCCAGCAGGCGATTGGCGCTCTCCAGTCTGGCAAAACGGGTCTAGATGGCTTTCCAATAGATTTTTTTTATAAAACATATATTGAACAACTGGCCCCCCGCTTCCAAATCTTTTTTAATGTTTTACTTGAGACGGGAGTCTTGCCCTCCTCTATGCTCCAAGCGGTGGTAGTAGTGATTTTAAAAACCTGGGAAGGATCCGTCACACTGCTCCTCTTACCGTCCAATTTCCCTGCTGATCACTGATGCAAAAATACTCGTTAAAGTGCTTGCTGGAAGGCTGTGTTTGGTTATCTCTACATTGGTACACAATGATCAAACGGCTTTATGCCAGGTAAAGGCATTGACATTAATTTACGGGGACTATTCACCCATATCTCTATGGCTCAGGACAGCAGTGACCCTGGTGTGGTGCTGTCACTGGACGCTGAAAAGTCCTTCGATTCGGTCGAGTGGGAATATTTGTGGGAGACTGACTCTGAGATGCTTCGGATTTGGCCCCAATTTTATTTCATAGGTCAGGTGCCTATACAGTGCCCCATATGCAAGAGTCCGTACTAACAATATCCTCTTTCCCCCTTTTGCTCTCCACAGGGGCACTCGGCAGGGTTGCCCACTTTTGCTGGACCTGTTTGCCCTGGCAATTGAGCCTCTGGCTTGCTTGATCCGCTCTTCACAGACTTTGTGGGGGCTTCTGGTGGGTGACTGGGAGGATAGGGTTTCCCTGTATGAGGACGATACTGTATGATAATATGTACACTCTATAATACCCTGTGAAATAACACTAAAGAAAGTCACACTTTCACCCTTGAAAGTATAAATCAATAATAGTAAACCTTTTTAGTGTCCATACAATTATGTGAAAAACCCAAAATTAAAGTCCATAAATCTTTCTTCCAATTTTCGTAAAATCTCGCCATATGAATACAGTAAGTGCCGTGTACTTCAAAATAAAAAAAACTCAATAGTGTATTATCCTCACAAAATGCAAAAACCGTGAAAGCACGTGATAAACCGTGAAAACACGTGATAGTGAAACACTCTGTGTGATAGTTATATATATGCTTCTCCGTGAACACTCAGTGTACACATCTAAGTGGCTGAATTACATACCCTTACCCCAGTAAATAGTAAGCCAGCCTTTTAAAATAAATCATATGACGTCCTCCAAGAACGCGCCCTCCCGCGCGGGCCCGGCAATCTCCATGATCGCTGTGTCCTACAGACACAGCTGATCACGTGATGTGGTAGGAGGCCAATCACAGCGCCCTTTTACCACGTGATCTCCTGTGTCCAATGACAGCAGATCACCGGGTAAATGCATTTGCCGGTTACCGGCTGCACTCTCCTCACGCTGTCACAGCATGAGGAAAGTACTGCCGATAACCGGCAATTGTCAGAGGACGGATCGGCACCAAGCTGCGTGCCGCAGCTGTATCTTCTGAGCGCATGCGTGGGAGTGACTTCATTGCAGCTTTGGCCATTCAAGTGGCCACAGCCTGGGAACCTGGAAGGTTCCAAGGTTCCAAGGCTGACAGCGAACTGCTGTAGGGTATCTTTCTCAGGTACCGTATTTTTCGCTCCATAAGACGCACCTGACCATAAGACGCACCTAGGTTTTAGAGGCGAAAAACAAGAAAAAAAAATATTCTGAACCAATGGACTGCAGACACAGTACAGGGGATGACCAGAGACTGCGGACACAGTGCAGGAGATGACCAGAGACTGCGGACACAGTGCAGGAAATGACCAGAGACTGCAGACACAGTGCAGGAGATGACCTGCGGACACAGTGCAGGAGATGACCAGAGACTGCGGACACAGTGCAGGGAATGACCAGAGACTGCAGACAGTGCAGGGAATGACCAGAGACTGCAGACAGTGCAGGGAATGACCAGAGACTGCAGACAGTACAGGGGATGACCAGAGACTGCAGACAGTGCAGGGAATGACCAGAGACTGCGGACAGTGCAGGGGATGACCAGAGACTGCGGACAGTGCAGGAGATGACCAGAGACTGCGGACAGTACAGGGGATGACCAGAGACTGCAGACAGTGCAGGGAATGACCAGAGACTGCAGACAGTGCAGGGGATGACCAGAGACTGCTGACCTTTGGGGAGGGAGGGGTAGCGGGTACCTGAATTCGACAGGTACCCGCTCCCACTTCCGCGGAGTTGTCCTTCTCTCTTCTTCCCGGGCCGGCTTCTGTGACAGCCGGGTGCCCACTGTGCATGCGCGAGAAGCGCTGCGCTTTGTGAATGGCCCGGCGCCTTCTGGGACCTGTCATGTGTCCCAGAAGACACCTGATCATTCACAAAGCGCAGCACATGCGCAGTGGGCACCCGGCTGTCACAGAAGCCAGCTCGGGAAGACTGTGAAGTGCTGGAGCGAGGAACAGGTAAGGCCCTGCAGGAGATAACAGCTGAGCGGCCGGCCCGGTATTCTGACATGGTGGCGGCAGAAATACCGGACCGGCCGCTTTATATTCGCTCCATAAGACGCACTGACATTTTCCCCCCTTTTTTGGGGGGAAAAAAGTGTGTCTTATGGAGTGAAAAATACGGTAAGTCTTTCATAATGTGCTAGCATGTGATACATACTAGCACATTATGACGTTACCTTGCAGGGGAATTTTTTTTTTTAGGTCTACTACGATGCCTATGGAAGTTTGGGGTACTACAATTTGTTGCCCTTTCATGGTTCTGCAGTTTTTTTTTCCAAGTTAAACTTTTATTGCGTAATTCAGCAAGACAGGAAAAAAAAAACAAACAAACTAATGAGACAGAGCTCAGCGGTACAGCCAAACAATTTTAAGAATTGACATCTTGTGTATTTTTCACTCATTGCAATCTCTTCTGTTATATTTTAGCATAAATGTGGGTAATATATTGCATTTGTGTGCACAACATTAACTTTAATGTATTTATTGTATGTTTAATAAACATAATAACGTTGTGACAAAAAAGGAAACTATCACCATTTTATTCCCTAAGGCCTTTGCTTTCAGAAACAATATACTGTTTGGGTAGATAAACTAATCTTCAGGCCTAAAATCTGAATTTTAACATATGGACAAAATGGAGAAAAGCGGTTAAAGTACTATTTCAATTTCTTTATCGTACATCATGGGACACAGAGCAGGCTATTCATGACTATGTGGGTTATAGGCAACTGATAGGTGAATGGACACTGGTCGACCAATCAGAGAGGATGACCTCCTCTATATAACCCCTCCTATACAGGAAGTACCTCAGTTTTCCCCCCCCAGTGTCTGTAAGGTGGATGGTCACTGAAAGTGTTGCTGTGCTCTTGGAGTATACCTGAAAGTCCAGAATGGTTCCATTAGAGAATCAGGTACTTTAATTGTATCCATTTGGAAGGCTATGAGCTAAAATGGATGGTACCCGAGCCTTGCTGAATAAGGAGAAGAGTCCTTGAGGTTTTGCCTGTAATGCAGCCTTATGGCACTGGATCCCGTGCAGATGGAACCTTGTGCAGTTTTAAATCTGTCCAAGGCACTTCCAGTGGGGTGCTATACAGGTCCAAGACAGTAGCCCCTCAGCATGGAGACTGAGTCCTTGAAGGTCTGTATGACAATGCCTGCCGTGATGGGTGAAGGTTGGTTCCTGACAGAAGTCAGGGACCTTCGGCGGGACTGGGGGACTGGTAAGATAGCTCCTTTTTTTTTCTCTCTGTAAAGAGAAACAAACAAAGCTCTAAATTGGAGGGAAAAGGAGAGGTGTTGTGACTGTGAGTTTCCACCAGGGGGAGTGCTGACTGTTGTTCCTCAGATGTGGTTGCTCTTTTTGGTTTTGGCCGCTGGAGGGGGTGCGGCCGGAAATGGAAGTCGGGCATATTTTGTTTATCTGGAGGCCAGGACACACGTGGGCTGCTGCTGCTGCTGAGAAATCTCTTGTGGCTGAGACATGGAGAGGGCTATTCTGTAAGAGACATGAGTACTCCCCTGAGGGGGAAGCGTGGAACAGTCAGCCAGGAGCCACCCAAGGTGGCTCATAAGGCAGCAATTTGCATTGAGTGTTTTTACTTCAACACACTACGTGCATAGCTGTATCATTGTGATCTGTGTTACTAGTGGAGGTGCACAGGTTTATGCTAACTGAAGTAATGTCTTCCAGAAAGCGGAGTGGGGGAGGTATAGCAGGAAAGGGCACAAATGTACCACTGCCAGGTCCTGAGGAACCTAGCCGAAGGTCCGCTATAATATCCTACCCTGACAGGCCAGAAGCGTCAGTGTCTGGGCATTGTGGCTACTACTGGGACTTCTACCTCAGCATATGTAACCAAGGATGATCTTGCTTCAGCCTTAGTGGGTTTAGAAGATAAGATTGCCAGGATGATTGCATCAGTTTCTTAGTGGACTAAGAAGCAGGATAGATCCCTGTCACTAGAACCACCAATCCTGGAGCAGAAATGGGTGGAGCCTGAGGATGAGGAAGAGCTGGAGGAAGATCAGGCAGTAGAATTTCTGTCTGAGGAGTCACAGCTTGAGGAGAAGCAGGATGTCTCTGCCTCCCAGTCTTAGTGATTTTTAGTCCAAGACCTCATTGATATGGTACGGTCTGGATTCAGGCTACCTCCGACAGAAACCTCTGAGGTTACTTATTCTTCCTTAAGCTCTTTGAAGCCTTCACAGAGTACTCAGGCCTTTCCGGTGCATCCTCTTCTGGAGCAAATTATGTATGCTGACTGGGATCACCCAGACAGGGTTTTTGTTCGACCAAAGAGGTTTTCTGTTTTGTACCCCATGGAACAACCTTTGTTAAGAAATGGGGGTTGTCTGTAGTGGATGCAGCCGTTTCATCCCTGAATAAATCTTTAACATGTCCTGTGGATAATGTGCAGGTTTTCAAGGACCCAGCAGATAAGAAGCTGGAGTGTCTCTTCAAGGCCTCCTTCTCCCTGGCAGGTTCTGCCGCACAGCAAGCTGTGGTAGATATTGGCATTTGCCAGATTCTTTCTGACCATGTCAAGCAACGTATTGGAAGACCATCAGTGCAGGGGGAATGCTCGGCTGAGAATTTGGAGGATGTTTTGCATGCTTTGTGTTTCACGCTTGATGCTTTTAAGGATTAAATTCAGCAAATTTCTCACTTGGCCCTCTTATCAGTGCACATGCACAGGGTTTTGTGGCTGAAGAGTTGGTCAGCAGAACTGCCATTCAAAAAATTGTTGGCAGGTTTTCCCTTTCATGAGGAATGGCTGTTTGGGGAAGATTTGGACAAATATATCCAAAAGATTTCAGGAGGTAAAAGTACTCTTCTACCCTCTAAGAGGAAATCCAAACGCCCTTCTTTTAAGGTGTCAGGGGCTTTGGCTCCTGGGCCCTCATCTACCACACACAGGTCCCAGCCTCCAGGGGTAGATCAGAGAAAACCCAAGGAGGCCCTGGGTGCAAAAGTCGTCTAAGACAGATCCAAATTCCGCCTCCTTATGAACATGCGCCCCCACTTCCTCCGGTGGGGGGAAGTCTTTTGAATTTTGTGGCCGCATGGAGGGCTCTAATGTAAGACAAATGGGTCATTTCCACGATTTCTCTGGGGTACAGTCTAGAATTTCAGGTATTTCCCTCTCCCCGGTTTCTAAGTTCAAATGTACCAACGATTACAGAGAAAAGAACAGCTGTATTTCAGGCACTCGATTGCCTATTGGCTCAAGGAGTAATCATGGAGGTTCTAGTGGGCAAAAGGTTTCAGCGGTTTTATTCAGACCTGTTTAGAGTCCCAAAACCAAATGGGAATGTACAGTGCCTTGAAAAAGAATTCATGCCCCTTGTAATTTTCCACATTTTGTCATGTTACAACCAAAAAACGTAAATGTATTTTATTGTGATTTTATGTGATAGACCAACACAAAGTGGCACATAATTGTGAAGTGGAAGGAAAATGATAAATGGTTTTTACAATTTTTTACAAATAAACATGTGAAAAGTGTGGCGTGCATTTGTATTCAGCCCCCCTGAGTCAATATATTGTAGAACCACCTTTCTCTGCAATTACAGCTGCACGTCTTTTTGGGGATGTCTCTACTAGCTTTGCACATCTAGAGAGTGAAATTTTTGCTCATTCTTCTTTGCAAAATAGCTTAAGCTCTGTCAGAATGGATGGAGAGCGTCTGTGAACAGCAATTTTTAAGTGTTGCCACAGATTCTCAATTGGATTTAGGTCTGGACCTTGACTGGGCCATTCTAACATATGAATATGCTTTGATCTAATACATTCCATTGTAGCTGTGGCTGTATGTTTAGGTTTGTTGTCCTGCTGGAAGGTGAACCTCCACCCCAGTGTCAAGTCTTCTGCAGACTCTAACAGGTTTTCTTCTAAGATTACCCTGTATTTGGCTCCATCCATTTTCCCATCAACTCTGACCAGCTTCCCTGTCCCTGCTGAAGAAAAGCATTCCCACAACATGATGCTGCCACCACCATATTTTGTGGTGGGGATGGTATGTTTAGGGTGATGTGCAGTGTTAGTTTTTTGCCACACATAGCGTTTGGTTTTAGGCCAAAAAAGTTCAATTTTGGTCTCATCTGACCAGGACACCCTCTTCCACATTTGCTGTGTCCCCTACATGGCTTCTCGCAAACTTCAAACAGGACTTCTTATGTCTTTTTTTCAACAATGGCTTTCTTTTTGCTACTCTTCCAAAAAGGCCAGATTTGTGGAGTGCACGACTAATAGCTGTCATGTGGACAGATTCTCCCACCTGAGCTGTGGATCTCTGCAGCTCCTCCAGAGTTACCATGGGCCTCTTGGCTGCTTCTCTGATTAATGCTCTCCTTGCCAGGCCTGTCAGTTTAGGTGGACGGCCATGTCTTGGTAGGTTTGAAGTTGTGCCATACTCTTTCCATTTTCGGAGGATAGATTGAACAGTGCTTCATGAGATGTTCAAAGCTTGGGATTTTTTTTTTTTATAACCTAACCCTGCTTTAAACCTCTCCACAACTTTATCCCTGACCTGTCTGATGTGTTCCTCTGCTTTCATGATGCTGTTTGTTGACTAATGTTCTCTAACAAACCTCTGAGGGCTTCACAGAACAGCTGTATTTATACAGAGATTAAATTACACACAGGTGAACTCTATTTACTAATT